GCCCTTGATCCTTAAATTCCTTTACCCCCACCATTTTGCAAAGTAGAAAAACAAATTTACTCTTTGACCTAGTAACATGGATGAAAAATCTAAATAAATAATTGTCCATGATAAAGGGCTTTCCCCTTCAGCTGTTTAATAGTACACCCTATGTACACCCACCACAATATTATTTTATGATTACATAGTTTAAGATTATCAAATAGGTTAAAAATGCTATTAGCCTCTGAATAAATGTCATACTGTTTTGCACTATTTTTTTTTTAATGGACCACAAAAAGGTAAAGATGGAAAAGAATTCTGTAAGTAATTTAATTTTTTTCTCCCAATCTTTTACAATCTCTTTGGAACCATTTAAAACAATTAGTATTTCAAGATCTCAAATTTCAGCATTTCATATATATATATATATTATAGTATATATATAATTTTCATTTAATAATGCAATTAATAATTATATTAGCATAATATACAGTTAGTTATAATTATATTATAACTATTAATATATTAATTATAATTATTAATAAATAATAATCTCTTTGCTTATCATCTTGCTTCGTACCCAAGGTTAAAGCACTGCATGTATGTAAATGTTGATTGCTCAGTACTTGCTTTGTTATAGAAAGGTATTTCAGTAGAATGTTTAGAAATATTCCTGATGTATATGTAAATTTAGACTATTTTCTGATCACAACTGCCAGATTGACACCCTTTCAAAGTCAGTAACTTACCTATAAATACAAATTTCCCAGTAGAAGCAGTCTCACAGTTTTCAGTAATTTATCGTTATTAATATCATTGCAAAATATTTTTGGAACATATTCTAGAGCATAAGCAAGTTTTCATCTTAGGGAAATTATAATTTGAAGTATGATAAGACAAACAAACATAAAACAATATAAATAATTGCTAGGATGAGGAACGAATATTCTCCAAAAAAACCAATTAAAAGGCACCAAGTGAAGATGTGAAAAGGGGTTGACCAAGCTGGTAGGCACTCCTTTCACAGATGAGAGTATCACTGGAGAAAATACCAAGGATGAAAAGCTGAATATCTCCTGTTTCAATAGTTGATCATTTCCCCCACCCTTTGTCTGACCCAGAAAAGCAAATTAAAGCAGGCAGGAAATTAAAAGGTGTGGGTTCTAATACTGGGCCTGCTTTACTTGGGCAAAGCACCTAGGTAAACTATCACTCATTTTTCTCCATCTCTAAGGTAAGTTTATCACTTACTTTATCACTTTTAGCACACCAGTAACAGCGAATAGTGTTACATGAGTCAGGTAAAAGAAAACCTTAGCCAAAGCAAAATGAAGACATTTTGAGATTAAAAAAAAGAAGGTTTTGCATTTCAAATAAACCTAAGGCACTACAAAAGGACCAGATAACATTATCAGCATCCAACTGGAGCACCTGTTGTTCTAGAGTCTGGATTGAGCATATCCAGAAAGTCCCCAGGCTCTTCGTTCAAGTTGCTTCAGATTTAACAACAAATAAGAGCTTCAGATTTCAAGATGCTAAAGAAAGTGTGTGTTATAATAAATGACTGATTATAAGATTGGGAAAAGAAAAAGCTTGTTCTGATTAGTAACTATTCCCACTCTTTTATTTCTATCAAAGAATGGTGGTAGTTTATAATATTTTCCCTAAAGTTTTGCTTCCAAAGTTGTGTTAAAGACCAAAAACATAGAATCATATGAGTATGTAAAAGGAAACAAACCAAAGGGTGACAGAGAGTAACAATACAGTCAGCCATTTTGAAAGGCAGTGTCTCATTTCTAGATTAATAATGTCACGAGTTTAGGACTTTAGGGGCAAGATAAATAAATTTTGAGACTCCATTCCAGACTATATAGACACAGTTACACTGAAGTACAGAACTGGGATTCGGAGGTGGGATTCTCAATCTTTTTCTCCTCAAAGTATTAGGCAACTACCTGACCGCAGATCCGCTCTCCTGCCCCACTCAAGGAGACACATGCAAAGGAACACTTGGAAACAGAGCAGGGCTGCCTTCAACCCATAAAGACGATGGCAGTTTTCCCAAGAATGGCACTTAGGGTTAGAAAAACCAAGGATGAAGAATGCCTTAAAAAGAAAATCCACAAAGAGGTATCTGACCCTCACCTCAGCTATGGGCGCTAGAGAGAAGAGAAACAAAGATCTAGTTATTCAGGCAACATTAAAACAAACACATGTACAACACTGATAAGCGTTTTGCTTAAAGAGAGAAAAGAACAGGAAGGGCTGAAAGTCTCCACACAGACCAATCTGTTTGATGAAAACATATTTCCTTTTTTCTTCTGGTTTCCTCTATAAGACAGTGTACAAAGTGCTCATTTATATATTCTTTGTTTTCATCCCAAAGCCAGAAGATCAAAGAGTTAATAAAACCTCCTTGCTATAGAAGGTCATTACAAAACTAAATGCAGCAATTCAAAGTGGAAAATAGAATGAATGCCAAGGAGATGTTTAGAGAAGCAACATTCTAGATGTATTCTTTGAAGAACATTTGCAGACTCGTTTGATTGCTTTAAAGCACGCAGGGCACAATGCGTGCTGCGCGGAGCTAGCATTGGCTGGCGGTTGCGTGCTTCGGCGCCCCGGCCAGGCCACTTGGACTCACAAGTGTATTTGATCGGGAACTACCTAATATGGTGGAAACATTCATGAGTATTTTACACAGCAGAATGGTATTAAAAAACTTCCGTGTTTTTTCCCTTAAGCCTAATTAAATGTCCAAACATAAGACATGAATCTAATCATTTGAAAAATAATTCGAAGCACTATTTTTCCAAGAACTGACTGAGTTGGATGCCAAGATAAGAGATTAGCTTGATGTTTTCCATTCACTATTGAGATCCTTCTTCTTTTTCTTTATTTCTTCTTTTTTGTCCTTCTTTACTTCTGACATCCTTAGAATGGGAGGAAACACAGAATATAGAGAGGTAGGCTTGAAAATTGTCAGTATTGCCATACTGATTTATTCAAAAGAGAGAGGCTGGTACACTGGCTTTGCATTTCAATGTGACATGTCAGAATTTGCCATTCACTGTAGCCCTTGAATCTCAGCATTAGGACCCATTAGGTTTCTTCCTAAAAAAGAGGAGCAGAACCGTCTAGAACATCAGAAATGACCATCCTGCTTGTGGAGCCATGGCTGTGTGGCAACATGGAGGCTGATGACTGAGGTTATTTAGAGTCTCTGACTGAGGTATAATCAAACAATTATTTTGTCACTATTTAAAAACTTGGCAGATACAGGTTATTTTCATTTTGAGGAAGAAGGAGGTCTTTCCCAAGATAATTTGGGGGTGGATTGGAAAACTGGCAAAGCTCGGTGTTCAGATAATGGTTCCACTCAGAAGAGGAGTGTAATTAAATAACAACATAGGAACATAAAGATATGAGATTAAGTTTAAGCAATGAAACTTTTTAATTATTTGGGGCAAATAATTGACCTATTCTATCATAAAATGAAACTGTTTGGAAGTACCGTTGGATGTTGTGCTGACGCCAATAGTATTTTCTTGTTTTTTCTTTTTGCATCAGTGGTGCATGTCACCTTCCTGCAAGGCAACCAGTTTGCAGATCTGGCCAGAGGGAAAATTACTGAACAACAAAATGAAAAGGAGGCGTAAGTCAGCCCAGATCTCTGAACCCTAGGAAAGGCAACTTCCCTCCTGCTCATGAAAGAGGACGATTGTGCTCAGTACCACTTATCCGGTGCCAACAATCTGGTAAGCCCTCTATTCAGCACCACACCAAGGCTACAGCAAGGTGACCTGGAATTTGGGGCCGAGGTCAGGGAAAGGTCACTGCCTGAAAAATGGAACTAGTCAAATGGAAAGAATCCTAGGAATGGGTGAGGTTAGTTACCCACAAAAGTAGCCCGATCCAAGAAATGGCATAGAAAACTATTTTTTATGACTCCAAAGTTCTAACTCTTTTAAATAATCTTGCTGCCCCTTGCAAGCTGGTGCTAGGATGCTCTGAAGCATGGTCATAGGAATCAGCACTTTGTCACTAAAATTCCTGAAGATTTCTTCCACTCCTTCAACTCTTCAGGTTCCCCAGTTCTCTCCTCCCTTTCTTTCCCTTATTTCTGCCACCACCCCAACTTTAAAACTAAAAACCAGACACCATCACCCTGTTATCTGAAACTCTCTCTGAAAGCTGGTCAGTTTTCCCTTCCCCAACATCTTCCTGGTGCCTTCCTGCAAAGGCAGAATGTCAAATACACTGATATGTACTTGATAACGTTAGGAGGTCATGGTATGCCATGAGTGCCCATTTGAAACAAACCCTTTCAAGGTTAAAGGAACCTTAATGCTTGGAATATTTGTTTGCCCTTTCATCGCTTTTCTTATCTCTTGTGATGCATATGAGTGCTTACAAGGTGCCTTTTAGGCTCAGGGTTACTTATTTTCAGCCTTCCAAATTAAAAAAAAAACAAGACAAAAAACCCCAAAGATATTTCTTCACCTGGGTGGCAATGTGAAAACATTTCACAAATAAACCCACAGATAAAACTATATCACTTTAAATGTGAAAAGACTAGTACTTTGAAAGGAGTACTTTGAAAAGTATTTTTATTTTATTTTATTTTTTTAACATCTTTATTGGGGTATAATTGCTTTACAATGATGTGTTCGTTTCTGCTTTATAACAAAGTGAATCAGTTATACATATACATATGTTCCCAGTATTTTTATTTTAAATGGGTAGCCAGAGCTGATATGTGCAACTGAAATGTTTACTATTCATCTGGTTTCTTTTTCTAAGAACCCCCAAAATCATAAAGTTAGAAAGTATTTGATTACTTCTCTTCAATGTGTAAAAGGACAGAGAGGGAGATTTCAAGTTCTTTTTGTTTTATATTTGTTGTCAAGAATTCATATAAGGAAGTCAATTTTATATAAAATAATTTCACAAAATTACTTTTAAGAGAGTCAATTTCCATAGATCCATTTCAGTAGGTCATATAATTCTTTTAATATGAGCTCCTTACTTTTATTAGTGTGTTATAAATTATTTATCTTGGAAAAATACATTAAAAACAGAATTAGAATGTCTTTGGTTTATATAGCTCACAGCATTAAGATAGTATAATACATGTTATACAGAGAGAAATGTAAATGTGGCCTAAAAGAACATTTTGAGTCAGTTTCACATTAAACATTGAATAGAAAAGTTGACTTATCTTAAAATAAAGCAAGTCACTACATCACTCTGCTACAGGCAAACGTTCTGTTTGTAAATAAGGATGAACTGACAGTGCTCGAAAGTGTAGTTCGTCAAACTCACAAGAAACCAAATATTATGAACATGTAAAATTCCATGTTTATTTAATATCCATTACATAACTGGTTCATTGAAACCAGACTTTGTAAAGACAAATAACATTTCTGATGAACATGAACAATATCATATAGTTGAAATTCATCCTGTATTTTCACATGCATAAAGATGTCATGATGCAAGAGTTTCAACAATAAAGACCTTGCCGTGAATTGGCATGGCATCTCTCAGTGCTTCAAGGCAGCACCAGCCCCATCAGCTTGAGAGGAGAGCTTAGCAGCTTTTCATTCATCAAGGGGCTCAGTGATCAGCATGTCCGCACTCAGCTGTTGTGGAACCGTCCCCCAATATCTGAGTTGGTGTCCAGTGTGGTCTGTGTCATGGGTACCTTCTCAGAGGACACATCCAGAGCTTAGGAAGGGTAGTCCTAGGACAGAAAAATAACAAACAAACAAGAAACTAAAGGGAATATGCAGTTAATGTAAAAAGGCTCACTTTAGTCAAGAAGTATGTGTTATGCTTTACAATATCAATGATTGTATTTTTATAGTTGCTCATATTTATTAAAATTAACTATGTGCCAGGCATGATGTTAAGCACTTTTTTTCATTCACCGTCTTATAAAATACTTTAAAATAAGCACTATAATTATCTCTGTTTTATAAATAGGCACATGAGCTTGACAGAGGTCAAGAAACATGAATGTGATTCACAGTAAATAGTAGAACCAGAATGCCCTTTGTATTATTAAACACAGTCCCGGGAAGGCCAGTTATCTTCCCATGCCCAGCATTGTGGGTGACGTGATAGCTTCCTCAAAGCCTTTCGTAGCCCTTTTCCGCCTTGCTTTTCTTTACTAGGGAGGCTGGAAAACTAAAATTCTTGATATTCTAAAGAGACCTCTTTCTGTGTCTCTGATAATATTTCTCTTTTTCTTCCAATTTAAATAATTCAAACCACAACACAGGCTTCCTTGCTCCTAGGAGTAACCATGTGATAGATTTCAGCCAAGGAGAAGGTGAAATTGGTAGCTGGGGCTTCCCAGAATTTTTTTTTTTAAAGAGACAGACTTGGTTGTACAGCAGGTCTCTAGTTATGAGGGTAGATCTCATGTTAAGTGTTCTAACAGGAAGGAAGAAAGGAAGGAAGGAAAAAAGGGAGAGAGAGAGGAAGAAAGGGAGGAAGGGAGAAAGAAAAAAGAAAAGAAGAGAAAAAGAAAAGAAAAAAAGAAAGAGACAGACTCCTGGTCTCCTTGCCCCTCCATCCTTCTTCTTTATCTGTCCTGGTTTATCCATTTTCAGATTTGTTAATACATAAGGGGAAAAAATCCTTTCTGCTAAGCCATGTTAATTTGATACTTGTGGCTGACTATACTGATTACCTAAAACTACTTTTTAAAGTTTTGTGACTTATTGAGGGGGTGGGAGCAATAATCACTAGTATTTGTTAAATAAAAGGATAAATGATTGAGTCATATATCTTAATTGTGGTGTATTCTATACCATATTTATACAATTAAATTAATGTTGGGTGACTTTCCTTTCATGTGAATGCTAAACACTAGCACATCTGAAATAGCTATCAGTTCTCATTGCTGTAAGTATGCAGGTTAAAAAAATAAGATAAGCCCTCCTGGGTTATGTGCACAGAAAGATGACTATAGGCCTGATCAGAGGGCTCCAAAATCCAGAATTGAACTCATTATCAGGCCCAACAGAGAAGGGAAGGAGAAGAATCCAGGAGGGAAAATAAGAAATTTTTGCAGAAGGTGAGATACTCAGATTCAAAATTTTTTTCAATTAAATTGAACAAAACCCACTTTCTTATCCACTCCCTGTGTTAATGATTGAAATCCCATCTCCAGCGCTCATTGGGTGTGTGTTCTTAGACCAGCTTGTTTCACCTCTCTGAGTTACCAACTGTTTTCAACCATAAAGTCAACGTTTTGCAACCCATCTCATAGGATTGCTTTTAGGATTAACTAAAGCAATGAATGTGACTTGCCTAGTACTGTGCCTGACAATAGAATACAAGTAACAGACTTTAATTCCACCCCACCCCCTCCGCCGTCCCCACCAATCCAGTTCCACATCACTCATCCCTTTTGACAGAAGTTTGACTTCAAAGACTGCTGTCTAATCTCTGAAAGCGTTTTCCTTTTCTTACTTAATAGCTCAGTCACCATAAAAAGACCACATTCTGTTGGACACAGGTTTTTTTTTTTTTTTCGGTACGCGGGCCTCTCACTGCCGCAGCCCCTCCTGCCACGGAGCACAGGCTCCGGACGCACAGGGATCCTCCCGGACCGGGGCACGAACCCACGCCCCCTGCATCGGCAGGCGGACTCCCAACCACTGCGCCACCAGGGAAGCCCTGGACACAGCTTTTAGTGAAAGAAATGCCTCCTATTAAGATGTAAGTTTCCTGAAGGCAATAACCATGTCTTATCAATGTTTACAATCCTCAGAAACTTGAGTTTCTAAAGAATTTCCAGTTAGGATATCTGAACGAAAAAGAATGTTTGAGCCCACTATATTAACATTTAATGTTTTATCAATCCAAATGACATCTTTATAAGGTACAATCTTGTCAGCACTTACTGTTCATTAAGCACAATGCTTGAGGACCCATAAAGCAATTGTAAACAAAAGCAACCCCATAGTATGGATGATAATATGAAGGTATAACAAAGCAAAAAAAAAAAAACCCAAAATATTTTATAATATGATAGTTGTTTACTGTGAACTATTCACTGTGCTAGGCACCATCATACATTAGAAAGGAAAACCAAGGGTCAGAGACCTGACTGGCACTGACTAAAAGTGCCTTACCCGAGTTTGTCTTCAGACGTCTCATCTCCTAATGTCTGAGCCCTGTGCACTTCACATACTGCATCCCAGAAGACATGCCAATTATGAATTTATGGGACAAAAAATGGTTTGGTTTGAGGACCTTAATTATTCAGATCTATAACATCAAAATTATTCATTGCTAGTAAAAAGCAATAATAATGTCTAATATTACTATTGCAACATACAAAAGTCTCATTTAATCTTCACAACATTTCTGTGAGGTACATATCATTACCTTCTCATGTGAATAGACATTGACATTCAGGCAGAGGAATGGCCTTTCCCAAGTGACAGACCTTAGATCCACACACTGACCCCATCGCCTAGTCCAGAGTTCTTTCTACCATACTGCCATATTCTGCTCTCCATGCTACTTTGCCTGAACTGCAGTGAAAAAAGGACAAAGGAAGGGATGAGGGCGTGGAATTATTACCATTTTGGTCCTTCCTCCTTCCATTATCTCAAGTGCTTTCTGCTGAACAAGGATTTTTTAAAAACTGGGTGTCTTCTGAGAAGGCATTCTGATAAAGTATGGATTCAATAAAGGAAGTCTTCCCACTGAGCATGGTTGGGCAAGTATTAGAATGATTTACCAAAGGTCCTTAGTTCAAGATTGGTTTTCAGTGTGTGCTTTTTCTCTTCCTTAACATCTGTTTTCAAACCAATAGTGAGTAATCACTTTATAAGCTAGCATAGCTCTGGGGTATTTAACAGGTGCTGGAACTCATGTCTAGGTCACCAGTTCAGATCCAAAGATAGATGGTTCCCTCTTCTTCTAACCTATGACTTCAAGCAGTAAGACCCGACCAATATCTTTCAACTAGTATATTGTACCACAAAACCATTCTTCCCTACTTTGATTCAGAGGTGCTGGTGAGGAATCAGCTAGGATTGTTACCACTGAGAACTAGCAGGGCAGTAACCATCATTCAGTCCATTGACACATAGCATGTCTTTTATGCTGTTAGAGGCAGGACAGCTGGATATAAGCAACCAGGTAAAGTAGGATAGCATATATTCCTTTAAAAAAATTCGTTTTGAGTTTGGGAAAGGTGAAATTAGGGTGAGCAGCAGAAAGAGAAGCAAGGAGTAGTCGACAAAGAAAGATAATGATGATCCAAATTTGAACTAAATCAGAAAGAATGACAAAATGAGTCAATAGCTAAACATGGAAAGGAGAAAGAGTCAAATGCCAAATGTATCAACTTTGAAGAATAGAGAACCGCGGACAATAAAGCAGAAGATCAGCTAATTCAGCACTCAATTATTCTTAATTAGCTTTTTGATGATCTTTAAGTTTTTTTTTTGTTTGGGGTTTTTTTTGCGGTACGCGGGCCTCTCACTGTTGTGGCCTCTCCCGCCACGGACCACAGGCTCCGGACGCGCAGGCTCAGCGGCCATGGCTCACGGGCCCAGCCGCTCCGCGGCATGTGGGATCCTCCCGGACCGGGGCACGAACCCGACAGGCGGACTCTCAACCACTGCGCCACCAGGGAAGCCCGATCTTTAAGTATTTAACAACTTTGTCTTCAGGTATTATTAAGGAAAGACGCCTGAATCAGGAAGACTCAGTAATATTTACAGATAATATCCTGGTTCCTGGAGTGGACAAAAGATGTCAAGGTGTTGTTCACAGCCTAGCACTTGCAAAGCCTTGTTTCTGTTCGATTGTGCCATACCTTACATATTTCTTATTTTACTCCTTCTTGAACCCCTATTTACAATTGTGAAATGCCATATTAGCAAGAGTAAACACTTCTAGGGCTTCCCTGGTGGCGCAGTGGTTGGGAGTCCGCCTGCCGATGCAGGGGACACAGGTTCGTGCCCCGGTCCGGGAAGATCCCACATGCTGCGGAGCGGCTAGGCCCAT